TACTAAGTTATTTATCTATTTAATGTATTTATCTAGTCTTTACCGTACGCTTTGCGTATGTGTATGGAATAAAATCAAGTATGGGACTCGCAGTGCCAACAGTGCATTAGTCTAATATCTATTTCACGGGCTTAATGACTTCACTCTGTAATTCAAATTTCCAAAATATTTCTAAAGAAAGGTTGCCACCGTCCAGTCTATAGTCTTACGTATATAGACGTGGCACTTGTAACGACTGTAAACATATAAGTTAAATTTTGATATATACAAAAACTCTACATAAAAAATAACTATACATCAAAACAAATTCTACAGTGCTACACTGTTCCTCCTTGGCTGTAAAATTTACAATATATTTCTTTTCAATGATCTTTACTCTTATCAAACACAGGTTTTCAATTGGGTTCTTTGGAAGATTCGAAGAGCCGTTTTATGGAACCACTAAGAAATCTATTTTATATTTTGTTTTCATTCCTACTCTCTCTGAAAGCTGATGATGATAAAAAATCTTCTAGGTTCACCTTGTGGTGGAATCTCCAATATCCTTCCAGTGGTGAGGCTAGGATTAAGGTTGAATAAGGGCGTGGTCTTGGTTATTGTGACGTTTTGGCATAGGTTGTTTGTGGATTCATCTAACAGCCATATTTTATATGTGGTAAACACGACCTTCCTCACATGCAAGTCATGTAATTTGATTGGCTATTTTTGAGGTCAAGTATTTTTACTTTCAGCATCAGTCTTACAGAGGAGATAGAGTTGCAACTGCAAACGTCTATAATTGTGTCAAAGGCGATCCTGAGGCAACAGATATTTCTGTACATGGAGGATCTTATAATAATGACAACAGACAAGATAATCATCATTCAACAAATCAAGACAATCAAACAAACCCTGCCACACAGAAGCTAAATCCTGCTTACATAATAGAATCCAAGGTAACACAATCCAAAGCAGAGCCAGTCAATTTTTCCACACCTACACATGAACCAACCAGCAGCATTTACCAAGGAAAGAAAGTTATTAGAGTTGGGAAGCAATCCCTTGTTCAGATGGACAAAGAAGGGAATGCTTTTGTTGACCCAAACAATTATCGTGCAGGAGAAAGTACAAGAGATGGTCAATTCTTATCAAGGCAACAAAGGGACAACCAAAGATCTGGTCAATGGACAAGTGAACAAATACCCAGCCAAGTTGATGGAGCAAAAGAGCAAAAGGGAAATCAAAGTGGGTATGGATGGAATGTTCTAAACTCTGGACAGCAAAGGTATAGCACAAATACAGGTTCAGAGAATCAAGGTGTGGTTCAAGATTTTAGTGAGCACAAAGTCAATTCTTATCAGGAAACAAATAAAAGGGAAGGTCAAACCTTCGCTGGGGATTCTTCTGGCTCTAATAAAACTGGAAAACTACAAATGGGTCAAATAGAAGTCCAACAAAATAAAGTTCCTGGAGGTCCTATGTATGGCTCATATTCACAACAGCAACCAGGAGGCCAACAAGTTGAGGATCAGAATAATGACATGCAAGCACAACAACAGAGTGCCAAAGGAAGATTCACGAGTCAACAATATCAGACTGGTGGTGCCCCAGCAGGAGGGGCTAACTTCCCAGCTCTTGTACAAAAGAATGGCAAATGGCTAGTAAAGAAAGTAAGTGTTGATGATAGCAAGTTGACTTATGGTAGTACCCAGACCACTCAAGAAGTTCAGCCACTTGATACGAAGGTCACTATGGGTGCCAAAGATCAAAACGCTCCACAGAGAAGAGAACTGATGAAAGAATTCAAGCAAAAAAGAAGTTTTAAACATGTTAAAAATCCATTTGGTGTGAGAAAGACTACCTACGCCCATTAATGAACCCATAATAATAACAAGCTAAGGAGGTGAGGTTTCACAAAAACAACTCTTTTTTAAACAAATGTTTTCTGTCTAATTGCCTTCTTAAAATAAACTAACAACATAGATCTATATATAGAAGAGATAACTAGCTAAAAACTAGTGTGAGCTGCATTGGTGTTTCTAATGAAACAGTAACGATAAAAGAATTAATTATACACCATGAAAAGATGAAAAAACTTAATGACATTTCGGATGCTAGTCCTTCTTTTACTCCAATGAAGGACTTGCGTCGGAAACGTCAGTAAGTTTTTTCATCTTTTCAAGGTGTATAATTTACCCTTTTATCATTACTAGATCTATATATAATATGTTTAGGATAACCACATACCTGACCCAGGAGTATGTGGTTAGATAGACAAGAAATGCTCAAGAAATGCTGACTCCCTCCCTAAAAATTCCAATTCTCTCTGCATAGGAAGTATTCAATTTGGAAGAATGTTTGTAAATGGTCAAGGCATTAACAAGGTCATGTTCATGGAAATGATCACAACATTTCTGGCTAAGAGTAGTAAAAGAACTGACAAAAGGCTGAGTGTTCTACAATGAACATATGCATAATTACAAGGTTACATTGTAGAACAAGGAAGTCATTTCCTTTCCTTTCATTCACAAGCCCCAGACAATGAATGTATGAAGTACACAAAGTTGGAATATAAATCATACCACATCTAAAAAGCTATTTAAAGAAATATGCCTCTTGGCTTTTCATTACTGAAGTCATAATAGCCAACATTTGAACTGGCAGCTTCTGATTAGTAAATGGAGAAAACTTTCTGTGCTACTACCTTGGAAAGTTATAGCGAAAACAAAATAATTGCTTAATTCATTAAGCTTTTGACATATTCAAATGAGGGGCACTTATTACCTCTGATAACTAAGGCTGACTCATAGCACTTCATAGTTGAAAATTGGATGATGTCATAAAATACTGGTAACACTAGATCACAGTCATGCACTATAAACAGAATATCTTACTAATTAATATTCTTCCATCCACTATTCAATAATCTTTTGGCCACTAACAGAGATGGAAAGTTGGTTTGCTTCAAATCCTTACTCCTAATTCTTTCTAATATCTAATATCTATAAGCTTGTTATAGGCTTAAAAGCTCCAGCAAGCTGATAACTTCTAAATGAATTCATTAGTGTGCCTTCCTTATTGGTTAGCTTATACAGTATATAATGGGATAATTCGAATTAGTTGCTTGAGTTCTTGATTTGTACGCTATCTAATGTACTTGGATACGAATACACCTTTCCTGAATTTGCTTCAATTAGATTAAGCTTATTTGTCTATGAGACTAGTATTTTCACGTCTTGATAAGCTTACTATGTTAGCAAACCTATGAGTTAAGTCGAACCATTCCGTTTAGCGGTCGATGAAGCGAATTCATTTAAGTAGCAGAAAGTATATTTCATGTCTAACTTAAAACTCTCTGGTATTACCTGATTAGCTTACAAATTCGTTCGGGCGACGCATCCAGACCATCCAAGCACAGCTGTCACCACAAGCTTTCCCGCCATGTTGTCTTGAGTATGTAGGGCTGCTGACCAAATCATTGAGGGCGCGGTAAGAGATCCTGTCAGGCCACCCACCGTCTTTCGCAAAAAGGAAATTGTAAAAGGATAAAGTTGGGAAGGGAACTTAGATTAGAATTTAGTGGATATTCATAGCAAGATAAAGTAACCCCATGATCTCTGCGCGATCCCTAGAAATACACGCGCTACTTCTATATCCAGTGGAGTCAGTCACCAACGACTAACAATGGTACTTTTTTTCACACCACAGAAGTACTTTTAGAAGAAGCTGCAGCCTAAAGACTCCAATGGTCAAGCTGCCTTTACCTAACCAAAGATATCATAGTGAACATAAGCAGGCAAGACATTAGCTGATTTGAAGTATGTGTCAGTTTAGCATAGCATTTCTGGACCCCCCTTCTTGCAAAAATTCATCGCTGAAACTAAACAATTTGAGAACTCTCTCCTTTCCTCCTCAGTGTTTATATAGATGATTTTTAGTTTTGGATTGGGGACGGGAAAGGGAGTAAAAACATATTTAAATTAGAATCTAATCGTTATTATTTTTTATGAACTGAGTACCACTAACCAGGAAGAATTACTGGCTTTCACTCCACTTCATTTCCTGTCTCGTGCGCAATGTTCATCAGCTGAATCGCCAGTATTCAGTAGGATTCTTTCTGGTTGACAGCACAAGGTGGTCAGTGTTTGACCACCATCTGGAGCAGATAATGAGATTCAAAAACTTTTATCAGCTGAGTGAAAGCCAGCAATAAGTCGCTTGGCTTGAAATCTTCGAAATAATACTATATTAAAACCAAAAATTACCAAAATAGCTATAATTTTTCACATACAAAAATTCTCAAACGTATCATTGCACTAAGTAAGGTATTTTCTAATTACATGTATCCAATTCACTATTAACAGAGGCAAACCACACATTTTATACTAATTTGCACATATATAGCTCATTATTTCTTCAAGGGTTATAATACATGTAATGTTACGAGTTTTGTAAACATTTGTGAATATAGTTGGCCGCATCATTAAATTGCGTTTTGATAGATCTAAGTTTTTTAATTTGCTTTCGGGAAGACTCCCAAAGACAACGGAACATCGCTTAGTTTTACATGGTATGGGACGAGGCTAACCTGGGGGTCTGAGGGAATACAAATTTTTTCCCCCAGCCCCCGGGTCCATAACACCAGAGGATGTCAACGGTTAAGGGATGTCAGGCAATGTATTTTATTGAAGAAGAACTTCAATTGACCCGCCGAGCCAGTACTTATGCCCTGTCACAAAAGCCGATGGTTCAGCGGTAGTCAATGTGGAATCAGCGCTGCAGACTCGCGGCGCCTCAGTCTCATTCGCTGTGTTTTCTGGATCTGGTTCTCAAACCTAGTTCCCAACTGTTGGTAGAATTACAAAATTAAACGAGACTTACCTTGGGAAGTTGAAGTTTGATGGTAGTTCTATCAAATCATTTGTAGTACATCGGGTTAACATGAGATGCGCACGCACCGCCGTGACTCAGTCTTTAAAGCATTTTGGGCGTACATATACCAAAAAACATAATGAGAGGGAAATATACAAAGGGTTGAGCATGTTAACCCGATGTACTACAAATTATTTGATAGAACTACCATCAAACTTAACTTAAACTTCCCAAGGTAAGTCTCCTTTAATGTTGTAATTCTATCAAATCATTACGTACACACAGGTTACCATGAGATTTTCAAAGCTGCGTGACTCAAGAAACCCTTATCTTTTGATAATAATGCTCAAACTATATTTACTCCAAGCTCTTTATTTGTCAGTCGTATTTACAATACCATTGCTCATCTGATCTGTGATGGCCAATGGCTTATCACAAAATTTCCTCACTACGTACTTCCTGTGGCCATCCAGCAAGTTTCATCACCACATCTAGATCTATTGGAAGCAGTTGAGCTGCTTTCGTAGTCGACACACTCCTTGTGCTGTGAGCTTGGTAAATGTTAAACATCAATATGGGCCATGACGATAATAATTCTGAGATATATCTGGAAAACAAAGCAAAAGATTGTTTCTTACCTTTTTCCCTGATACTTATCTTCTGTCGATAGCAGCTTTTAACACATCCGCCCTAATCACGGCTAACACATGCACTGAGTCACGGCGGTGCGTACGCATCTCATGGTAACCAGTATGTCGATGGTTAATCAGTTGACATGATAAGCCGCTGATCCAAATATGCGCGGCGTCCGAAAACGACAAAAGTTTTTACGTTCTCTCTTAATTTATTATATTTTTGACCAGATATCAGATTAAAAATATCATTGAATCCCCGGTCCATTTTTGAAGTTTTTGTTACCATTCCTGAGAAACCCGAATGAGAATCCCATTTTAAAAGGCGGAATAAATTTTACGTGATACCTTCACTACTGGGATGCTCGCTCCAGGGATGTTGTGCGCAGACGGATTATTTACAGTGGAACCCCGCTTAATAAGGACACCTCGCTATTAAGGACAGGTTTCAAAGTCCCAACGAAAGCTCCATACATTTTCTGTTAAATTAACCCGCTTTATAAGGACACCCGTTAATAAGTACAAAGGACACATTTCTAGGAACTGAATGACAGTTTCCATACAAAATCAACCCCGCATTAAGGACACTTGAAATTTGAAGACGTCTTTACTGTATTTGTTTATTGATATAATGAGCTGAATACGGATTATATTGTCAGTTTTTGCGTATCGGAGGACCACACACTGATCATTGCAGTAGAGTTTCCTATTACAGCATAATGAAATAAAGCTCACAATACCATTGCATTGTTATTTTCCAGAACTCAACTCAAAATGAAATTGTACAATACAGTGCAGTAAATGCAAATGTAGTTCTTGTACAGTAATGCACTTTTTGTTCTAGTTTAGGCTGTTATATTGAACACTGTAGTTCAAGCTTTACAGTGCAGTAAAAATAAATGGTTAAAAATGTGTTTTCAGCTGTTTTTTTTTTTTTTTGGACCTCGGTTAATAGGGACACCCCGTTAATAAGGACAGTTTTGTCCGTCCCAACGGTGTCCTTATTAACGGGGTTCCACTGTACTTTTAAGCATCATTGACAAGAAAGAGGCCGTAATTAACGCCCCCGAAAATGTTGATCTTGCCCGACATTCTACCCCCCCCCCTCCCCCCACCTAACGACAAATATAAAATGGCCCGTCCCTTATTTGCATGAGTTAGGCGTCCTCTGATTTATAGATCCCAGCACTGAGTATAGAGCAGAAGTTTTAAAGTTCAACAATTTTTTCTATCAATGCTGAAATGAAACAAAGCTTGTATTAAAAATTAAGTGTAAACATATTTTACAACCATCACTCCCGTGTACGGGGCTCTTCTGTGAGGTTCCCCCACACGCACTACAACTACATTCTATATCCTGTTCTATATTTACAACATACAACACTCAACTCACATATTGATTTTTAGAGGCCGAGGAAACCGGAGAACCCGGAGAAAACCCTCGTGGCAAGGGAGAGAAAAACACATCCTTTGTTGACAGTTACGTGCTTGACTTCCTATGACTGATACGGTCTTTCAGTATGACGTCAAGCAATGACATAAATAGAAACTTATTGAATATACAGGGAAAAACTGAACCAAATATTTACCCAAAATTATAGAATATTTAATATTCCAGAATAGTTGAACGGATAAAGAATGGTAAAAAACCTATAGAATTTGTGTATTTTTTTCTTTATCCATGATATATGACTCACGTTTTAAACTGCGAGACGTCAGATTTGTCGTTTTTGTAGGTTTGGGTGCCCTGTGGTGTAGTTTAAGTTCGACGTCAAACACTTCCGAGCCAACGTTTTAATAACCGAAAGGGTGATACGCAAAAGGATGATAAAACCACGAAAAGTCGCTTAAATGTTTCTTAATTTTTGTTGATACTTATTTCCTAAGAAAAAAAAAATCCGAAACGGAAATCAGAATGTCAGCTAGCGATGGTACGGTTTCAGGAATTCATCTTCTTCGCCAATTTTCGATTTTCTTAGCATTCCTTGTTTTTTCCCTAAAGATTCAGGAGTCTAATCTACAAAATGGTCAGTACGGGAAAGGAGATTTCATTATTGGAGGTTTATTTCCCATTCATTTACAACAACAGAACGGCAATTGCTCAGAGCTTCGCCCTGGAAGTCTTGTGTGGTCAGAAGCAATGAAACTCGCCATCGAAGAGATCAACAACAACTCTTCCTTCCTGCCGAACATAACGCTAGGCTACGATATTCAGGACACTTGTAGCCATGAACAAGCAGCAATCGCTTCAGCTGCTCAGTTTTCATATACTAATACATTAATGTTTGATGAACGTTATAAGTCAGCTGTGAACGGTTGCTTCATTGGTTCGACTGTAGTAAGCAAAACTCGTTCGCCTGTGATTGCTATTCTTGGTGGTGAGGATTCTCGAGTTTCAGTTCACATAGCCAACGTCCTGCAGCTTACAGACACTGCCCAGATTAGCTATGCAGCTACCAGCTCAGAGCTCTCGGACAGGGAGCGATTTTCGACATTTTTTCGGACCGTTCCCTCGGATGAGTTTCAGTCAAAAGCTATGGTGGACATAGTGAATCACTACAAATGGACGTGTGTTGCGCTCGTTGGCACAGACGATGTTTACGGAAGGAGTGGCCTCGATTCCTTCGTTGATGCTGCAAAGGAAAAAAAGATTTGTCTTGCAGCGATCGAATTATTCCCGGTTCATGATTCAGCTGTGCAGATAAAGGAAATGGTGAAAAAGTTAAAGTCAATGAAATATGTTGAGATAATTGTTCTGTACAGCCTGTCTGCTCAAGCAGTAAAAGTGTTCCAGGAATGTCTTGCTCAGAATATGACAGAGAAAACATGGATAGCTAGTGATGGATGGTCAGATTCAGCCTATATTCGACAGAAACAATTTATTCCTATAATTCAAGGGACGATTGGAATTGAATTTAGGGAAATAAAGTATGATGCATTGGAAAATCATCTAAGGAATTTTGCAATATTGAAGTCTCAAGAGAATTTATGGTTGGATGAATTTTTTATTTTGGAATTTAATTGCTCACGCAAGGGAGATCCAACCAAGAATATTCCTATTTGCAGTGGAAATCAAAGCATATCTAAAGACCTGTATTTGGAGAAACTGCATAATCCAATATCCCCTTATGTTAGGGATGCTGTATATGCCGTTGCACATGCTCTGAATTCTTTCATGAGGTGCTCACATTTAGATTGTGAGAACACAAGGGATTCATTCACTCCTAAGAAGTTGGTCAGTGCTCTTTGGAGTACATCATTTCTGGGATTAACTGGCAAGTTTAATTTTTCTCAATTACAAAAACAGGCTCGTTATGACATTATTAATCTTCAGGTGAATAATGGCAATTTTGAGGTTGTAAAGATTGGTGAGTGGGATGCTGACGAATTGAGAATAGCAAAAGACAAAGACATACAGTGGCATAATCACCAAAAACCACATTCTTCTTGCGGTAGCATATGCAAAAAAGGAACTTACAAAAGTCCTACTATACAATGCATATGGGAATGTATGCCATGTTCAGGGGATACTTTTTCTGATGCCGTCAACTCCGACAGATGTAAGGACTGTCCCAAAGGATTTATTCATGCTAATAACCATACAACATGTATTGAAGTTCTTCCACAATACATTAAATGGAGCGATCCATGGGGAATTGGATTGATTATAGCCAATTGTCTGTGCATTATATTGATTCTATTAATCCTTGGCTTAGTAATAAAGAACTACAAGACACCTATAATCACAGAAACAGGAGGTGTTCTGAATGTTGTACTTTTGATAGTAATTCTTCAAACTTTTGTTTTTAACTTTGTATTGCTTTCAAAGCCTTCAGACACTCGATGTCACTTCTTGACAGTGTCTTTCTATCTTGTGTACACATCTGGAATAGTGACTTTCTTACTCAAGCTGATCTTCATCCAACGCTTCCTTAGAGAGAAAAAAGAGTTAAATGTTACAGCATCAGCACAAAATAACATACCAACATTTACAGAGAATTCTCGAAGGCCAATGTGGCATTACTATATACTTGGAGTTTTTGCAGTCCTCTTCCCAACTTTTATGTCAGTACTATGGATTGTATTTGGAGAAATGCATTCTGGCAAGACTGTAATCTCTAGAGACATTGTATACCTTGCTTGTAAGTCAGACAACTCAGTTAAAGGAATAATTCTTCGTTTTTTTAGTGTCATATTTCTTTCAGTTTTGGCATTTTTAACAACAGTGTATGCTTATAAAACAAAAAGGATTTCACAGCTTCAGAAATTTAGAGAAGCAAAGCATCTAGCATATGCCATGAGTGTGTTCACGGTGACRTTGTTGATATTCTATCCAGGATGGACATTTATCCAAGGCCCTGTGCTCCAAGTTTTTTCTTGTTCTATGAACATGATTGCTGGATCAGGTGTTATTCTTTGCTCATTTGGACCTAAAATACATGTGTTGTTGGTGTGTCCAGTCTTAAACTCATTCCTTCATGTTCACCCAGCGCTTAAATCTGTACATGCTGCAGCTCTAGGGGCTGGACTGACATTACTAACAACAGGTAAAGGACGATCTGCTACGATATTAGAAGACTCCTCTCCATCCCATACCATTAGCTCACCCACAACTACAACATCAATTTCCTAAAGGCTAAGGATAATAACTAGAGTGCATATCATATATCCATGAAACTGTTACATAACTAACAAAATTGTACAAATCAGTGTAAAGTTTTGTACGTCTACAGTTTGAGGAGCTTACTAATTTGTTCAAATTCATGCAATTTCTTACAAAGTTTTTCACATATATATGTATGCAATCTAATGTGCATGACGATATTTTCTAAATTTCAGGGCTTAAGATAAAGCCGGTCAAATTAGTTTAAGCTTGAGCATAACTTGTTTTTGGTTCAACGTTACAGTTGGATTCACAAAACTTTAATTCCAAAGTTAGTTCCCAAGTTCTCCAAGTTGGTCCCGAACTTGCGAACTTTTTGTGAAATTGGTTCAATCAACCGTGACTTGTTTATGTCTAGAATTCAAATATTTACTGGAATTGCTTCTTTAAACCATGTACTTTTCGAAAATTGTTTTATGAAATCAACTGTATTAGTCAAAATGACCTGCAAGGAAAATATTTAACAGGACAACTTGCAATTCTGGCTGGACATTGTACGATGACAAGCTGTTATTGTAAGCCCTGAAATGTACCTTCATATATCACAGTGTCAGATGTCAGACATTTAAAACTATGTAAACACAAATATGGTTGTAACAATCAAATCCTAACATTGAGCAGAATTCCAAAGTCTGTTCAAATAAACCTGCTCATGTTATTCTGAGCTGGGTAAAGTGATTGGAAAAAATTTAGGCCCCTATATTGTCACTTACCCCATACTGCTACATATTGAATCCCACATCCAGTCAATGTCATTAACGTTGTCCACGGAAAATTTAGACTAAAGTGAGCCTGAACTTTAAATGTTAAATTCAACTCATGAATCGAAAATCCAGAATGCCCCGACCATTTAGTGAGGATTTAAGATGGAGAATTGTATTTCAGCGTTTGTTTTATGACAGAATGTTTGAGGAAACACGTGATATTTCTTTTTGTCTTGAATGTGTAAATGTCTAAATGTGTAAATGTGCAATTGTCTAATTGGTTTTTTTTTCCGGTGGACAATGTTAATGACATTGACTGTATATTTATTCATTTATGAAAAAATAAAGATCATTCAAGCAATGAATTACAGTACTCTCTCCAGCAATTCTTCGATCATATAGTCCCTTTTCCTGTTGAGTAATTTTAAATACCACTGTGTTCTTTGACTACAGGCTCATTTGTACAGATTTAGCCTGGCTTAAGAGTCAACTCCAATATCAATGAATGTGCAAGTTTAACAATCCAATGTTCTGAAATCTCACAGACTTTTAATGGTATCTGTGAATAACTGACTTATAAGCAAGGCTGAACCTTTACAAATGAGTCTGTGGTCTTCAAAAACAGTGGTACGCATCAAATGCAAAACTGGTGTTAGTCTTGAAAACAAAATATAATTGTATCATAAATTTAAGTAATAAAAAAAGGTAAAAACATATGTACAGTTTCAGTGAATTAAAAATAATCCTTGATGCACACTTAATGTCTGGATTGGGGGTGGATGATTAGGTGGCACCCCCTTACACCTTGGTGTAAGGATGTGTGAATGGAGGCACGGGTGGCAAGAGCACTACCTCCTGACAGGATTTGACCTGGGTTTAAGTCTCACTGGGCTTGGCATTGTATGTGAATAGAGTTGTTTGTTGGTTTTCTCCTGTGCTTTGAGGGTTTTTCTCCTGGTTCTGCTGCTTTTCTCCCTCCACAAAAATCAACTTCTAAAGTCCAATTTGAACATGGAAAGGGCCACAGGTTCATTAGCCATGGGCTATAACACTAAGTGCCACCCTCGTAAAAACAAACGAGGATGGTAATGGATACTTGAAAAACGCTACTGTCTAGTGGTGTCCTCTTATGGAATACCATCCCCATCTGGGGGAAAAGCGATGCTGTACACCATGCTATGGAAACCAAAAACCAATCCCTCATGCAATGAATGCTTACACAGGAATATATTAAATAGTATCACAATTCTCATACAAGTTTAATCGGAAGAAAGCTGCCAATATAAACCCATATTGTCGGCTTAGAATTATTACCTCATGATAGGTGAATCGTGATCCTTATTGCAATGTAGCCACCAATATGGGTTTATATTGATGGCGTTGGAAGAAAATATACAGTATTATTAAATACCAAGTGTCAAAGTTCAATTTTCCTCAATTTCTATTGGTCGAGAGTGTGTCACGTGAACGTGAAGAAATTCAACAGTTTCTTGGCGACCATTCTGGGAGTGGAATATTATGTTATGGACTGGGAATAACAAAACCGGAAGTCACGCGATTGAAAAAATATAAAAACACATTTGAGCGCTCCTTTGCAAAATTCATTCACACTTTTTCTTTCATGAAACATCATTATTCATTTCTTCATTTTTGTTTTATTCTCTTTGACACTTGGTATGATAATAAAGCACTTATTTACTGGGACCTCGGGAAAGCAGTATGTTTTGTGGTCCCTCGACCGCTGATGTTTCCCAAGGCGGAGCCACAAAACATACTGTTTCCCTCGGTCCCAGTGTTAATTATCCCATACCAGATTCATATTTCCTCCCAACTAGCCCACAATATTAAACCTGTTTTGGTGGCTCAAAATAGCAGTACATGTAACTTATTAAATAATAATATTAGTATTACTTATTTTTTGTATATTTTTTCTAGGCTTCTTGGAAATTTACTTATTTCAGAACATTGGGGAAAGAAGAACATTCATTGAAAAAGAGTTGAAATATTATTTTATTTATCTAGAGATTAAAATATAAATAATTATTTCATACACCATAACCTTCAAATTTTATATTTAGCTACCTACTGTAAAGTATAGACGTAGACATTAATTTTCAAACCTAAAATATATATAATATCTATATACATTGGAGTTTTTATAAACATATAAAATGAATGTAGTTTATGAATGACTACTTCCTGTTCTACTTGGTGGGCGTGCAGCATATGGATGTGGACTAGATACTGCTTTGAGTTCATTTTTGACAGAGCTTGACATTTTGCCAGATTGGTCCTTGGAGCCTTGCCACCCAGAAGTACCTAATATTAAACACATGAAACACTTATTAGCCTCGATCTCCAAAGTTGTAGTATGCGTTCATGGGGCTGTTGTAGGGGACACTATACATGTATAATACTAATACTGGATGTTTTTCCCTCTGATCGATAGTGAAAAGTGATAGCTAAACTTAATAGTGGTTAATCATTTTTCAATTTTCTGTCAATTATTGATGCATAAAACCATCAACCAACTGATGAAGCATCCTATTAAAACAGGCTCACAATAATACAACCTATGTACTCCTACAACTCTAAAAATGTTAATGATTTTCATTATCAATGCTGTTTTTTTCATTTAAATAATCCATGTTTAAATTTAACAAAATAAATATAGTAACAAATAATGCAAAAACAGAAAAAACATGAAAAATCAGAAAACTATTAATAATCAATTTTATTTCTTATAGATAACAAGATTACTAAAGTTAAGAATATTGCTCATTCTTTTCTGAATTGGTATAATATAAACCCTTGAGTTTTTCAATGTCAGTCATTCAGATGGTAAATTGCAAGTCAAGATTAAATAAAATTGTTAAGTTTTTTCTACAAAATTCCTCAATTTATAAAATAATCAAGAGAGCATAAAATAAGAAAGGGAAACGTCTTAAAAATGCATGCACCATGTAAATTCCTGGTTGGGCTATTTTTAGAAACCAGATGCAGTTTCAATTTTCAATCTTTCAAACTATTGTTTTTATCACTAAAAGCAAAACAGAAAGAGCATACATGCACGAGTTGATGATGCACGGGAGAAGGGTAAGGTGAAATTGAAACTGCAACCAGTTTCTAAAAATAGCTCAAATGGGTATATACTGTACATGGCACGCGTGATATTGAGAAATTTTCCCCTTTCTTATTCATGCTCTCTTGAATAATACATTAAAATATCGGCCAACTAATGTACCTTGATCTGCAAAAGTTCCTGGAGATCCTTTAGATTTTGATTTGCTATTAGCTGCCTTTGTTGGTTTTACTCCTGATAAGTCAATCAATCATTCATTCATTCAATCAATCATTCATTCAAAGAAAAATTATTAGCTGAGAAGCCAGTGCTCATATGCTAAGAACTAAATATTATATTATTATTAGCTGAGAAGCCAGTGCTCATATGCCAAGAACTAAATAATACATTAATAGGTCACTGGTATTATAGTTTCATCACCTTGCATGCTTATTTTATTCAGTTAATTAACAGATGAGTACAAACCTTTTCCAAACGTTATGGCTGCAACTAGGTTGTCTAAGTCTGGGTTGGCTACTGGTGTTGTTCTTGCAGCTGAAAATTAATAAACCAAAAATAACAAATACTATAATGGCAAAAGTATCCAGTTCTGAGCTTGGTTGTACAAAGCCTGTATAGCACTATCTGGCAGATAACTCCTCATAAATCGAGTGGATAGCTCGATGCTGTTATCCATTGGGCAATAAATTTATCCACTGGGCCGGGTTGTTCAAAGCTGGATTAGCGCTTACCAGGATTAACTCTATAGGTCTTGTTAAGAGTTAACCCAGGATTAGCTCTAATTGGGCTTTGAACGACTGGGCCCTGGAAAATATTTATTTATCAGATAGCGCTATTCAGGCTTCGTACAACCGTTCACTGTAGTATAATAATTTTAGTTTTGAATAATTTAATTATTGCTATTATATAGAACAATAAAATTAGGTAATTTCATTAAAGTGCTACTACGACGAAAATCGCTCAAACTTGGATTCAGCTGAAACTTCCTAAGAACACTCTTCAAAGGTCCAATAATCACTGTATGAAGTGTTTTCTCGATATTCAGGACAAAAGTATGATATTTTTACGATTATTTTTTGGAGTCTGTGACGTCATACACTCAACATCGAACATCGCTCCATACATTTCTTTGTAGTTTATGATCAAAATATCAATAGTAAAGGGAGAAAGAAATACCCAAACACCCCAAAATATAAATTATAGTCACAAGTAATGTGAAATAAGCACATTAGCCACCCTTTGGGCTTCATAGGTATAAAATAAATTAAGGATTTACATACAAAGAAATGAATGGAGCGATGTTCGATGTTGAGTGTATGACGTCACAGACTCCAAAAAATAATCGTAAAAATATCATACTTTCGTCCWGAATATCGAGAAAACACTTCATACAGTGATTATTGGACCTTTGAAGAGTATTCTTAGGAAGTTTCAGCTGAATCCAAGTTTGAGCGATTTTCGTCGTAGTAGCACTTTAAAGAGTACTCTGCATTTTAATACTTTCGGTGCATGATTTACCTTAACAAAACAAACAGATCAAAACTCTGCTTTTCACTACCATTATCATTCAAGTGTAATAATACAAGATTAGCTGGATCCAATTTTTGATTGTCTCTGTACATAACTGTGTACAGCACTACACACTCACCCAAGTTTTGTTCACCTTCCCATTCTTCTTTGGCATTTGTAATCATGTCTGTTAGACCACCAATGATGTCATTAAACTGAGTTATTTGTCTCTGTTGAAAAATTAAAAATACATATTAGTCCCCTTCACAGTTCTCTGCACCATCTTGAAAGGTAGCCGTGCCTTTGGGTTGAAGCGAGATGAATGGTAAGCTTGTAATGATAGAGACCTTAAAATTTTTAACACCTTGGAAAATTATTATTCACACGTCTCTATCATTGCAAGCTCACTGTTCATCTTGCTTCGATGCAAAGGCACGGCTATCTAAGATGCTTCTGAATCAAAATGTACTCTTTTTGATAAGGCTTACAGAATATAATACTGACAGTATACCAGTCCCATATCCTTCCAAAAAAGGGGTAAATTCAGCTTGTATTTTCAGGGGACGTCAAAGTTAAATACTAATAATTATCAAATAAATATTTAAATAATCCTAATAATATTGATTAAAATTTTGTTAAATTAACCTGTGCAGAATCAGGATTTAAGTTTGAGGCAACAGCAACTAATTTCTGTTCATATTCTTCGACTTCAGGTTCATACTTTGTTCGTAAATAATCTGGAACTAAAAGATAAAGTCTTAGAAGTGCAGTTTTCCTCAAAATAAACATACAGTAGGCATGGCAGCATATACAGTAATATAACAAGCCATTTTATACATTGTGGTGCAAAAGGAAGAAACCAAAAGGAGATATAAGAGGTTAGAGAATTATCTTCTAAGATCAAATAATTGTAATGTAGAAGTTTGTTTTTGCAGAGGGAGGAAAACGTTCTGAAGGACCCAGAGAAAACCTGTTGAAGCACAGGAGGAACAACCTTCAACAAAACCAAATAAAAGGGTATGAAGTACCGGTTGAATAGCATCATCTTGTCTATTAAACTTATAGCAAGTTTGCTATAATTATAACTGATTTTAAGTTATTTTCATGTAACAAAAAATAATGTGAGTAATATCTAGATCCCTTACCCACTTCATGATTAAATGCCTGTATTCTTCCTTGGGTTGCTTTCTGTATGTCAGGGTCAGTTTCTTGCTGCACCAGAATGGGAAGCAATACAAGGTCTCTTAGTAGAGGTGTCTTGTCACCTTTTAGTAGTTTTGTTAAAGTTCTGACTTGACCTACAATACAATACATGTACAAATGTTTGTTGTGTTATGTCTAGTCATACTTTAGCAATATTGTCAAAGTCCTGACTTGATCGACAATACATGTTTCTTACATGTACATTTTGTCTTGGTACCCTTTAGCAAGTGAATACTTTGAATTTTAGTTTTTTGATGCTGTCACATGAAAACCAAGAATAGTCTGGTTTTATGTAGGTATATTTTAAGTTGACAAAAGACTTTGTCCCCTTGCATTTCCCATATCTCCCAAACAGAAAAAAAACTATCAAATACTAGCTGGTAGCATTTAGGTATGGTATTCAAAAATATTAAGAAAAATACCAAAAAAAGAAAATTGGTTGTGTTAAAGATTATACAATGTGCTGCAAATACGAAATCAAGAATATCATGATGTTGAAAATGAATATACGTATACAGTACAGAATACAGAATTTACAGTATACTTATCATATTTCCTCTTACCTGATAGAAGAGCAAAGTTATCTAGCATTGATGGCCTGAAAATAAAGAACATTTCAATGTATACTTTTCATGTCAGTACTTGATAAAAAGTTTTTATCATAACAAAGAAAAGGTAAGTTAAATTATAGAAAAAGCACTAAGAATGAGTTCTATTGACAATTCAAATATGAATGTGATATACAGTACTCCAATATTCACAGTACAAAATGCTCTGCATTTGGAAAGTGTGTTTCTTACAATAAGAAGGAAATACTGTATCTACTTAAGGTGGCTCGACCCCCTCACGCTTGACCGCTACCTTCCACTTTTGGAACGCTAGTGCATAAACGTCTTTTATCCTATTGCAAATCTTTTTTGCGCATAAGTCACATAAAGATTGAATTAATGTCTGATGCAGTTTTTTATGAGATCGGACGTCATAACACGTGATTATGATGAAATATTTGATTTCGTTTAGAAAATAATTTTAGCCTTGCAGAGCGTTCAACACTAAAATGCTTCGTACCACATAATTATATACTGGATGCCTCCATTTTTGGGGATTTTTGAAAAAATCTATCTAGCTAATTATGAGATATTTGAGATTATTTAAATATAGTGCATAATCTACTTCAAAACTAAACAATGGATTTCATACGGCCGAAATTAATATTTCAGAGCTATATATTCACAAAAGTCATTGCTCATTTAGTATTACTCTGTATCTAGTTTTAAAAGGAACATTTAAAAGGAACATGTAGCCGAGGGAGGACATACCACAGAAAACAGGAGGAAATAGTTTTTTTTACCACAGAAAATTAATAAATAAATTTACTATGAAAACAAGGGTAAAATCTGAAATAAATTAAAAGGTTTCAAGCGTGCACATGATTTGCTGACATAATTATTATTATAATTGAATATTGGTATGTCCTTCTCTAGACCAATCAGAAAGCAAGAAAATTCGCAAATGTGGTAAAATAGTGTCTACATATATAATCTCAATTTACTACTGAACTGGAGATCATAACATGATTTATATTTCCATGTCATTGTATTATCTATTCTTTAGTTCATAAATTCATCAATTTCATCATGGCCCTTTAAACAACTACTGGGCTTATCTATTAAGTCATTGAATAACTATCTCACAGATCAAATAATTGGAATACAGCACATGTTTTGCAAAAAGAGAAAATATGATTTTAATTCATGCTTCATGAGATCCAAAATTGACAAGATTACATGTATCTCAGTTATAAGAAATTGGTCAAGTGCTAAGTCGTACAGATGAATGAGCTTGACAATTTAAATAATTACAGTGTCATTAATAATCTATCACAAAAAGCTAGGTTTTGATTGAGTCATTTTGATTTACCTCAAATAACATAAGTACATGACTACATGACTCCCCTAGTGGTTTGTCTGAACCATTATTTGCTGAATTCATAATTTGCTCAGCATATAACTAGTCTAGTGATATAAATATTCAAACTCACAAATAATTGACCTCACAAAGGTATTGTGGTGTTGGTGTGCTCTCTCCATACGAGTCAAAATTGAAGATCATTTTGTAGCATTTGTAAAGTAAGTACATAAAGAAATTTAAAGGTTAGTAGAAGAAAACTTTGTTGTTTGACAAAACAAATACATAAGATTAAGAAGCTATTTTGTTATTGAAAGACACCTTAAAGTGTTACTTCTTTAAGGTTTTGTCATAATCTACACCTGCGCATGTACACCAATATATTCTTACTACCAAATGCCTAAAAAGAGAAAAACTGTTATATCTGATTCATTACACATGTACTTCCAAACAGTAATTAATTTACTTGTTTAAGAAAATGTGGAAGTTTTATCAAAGTAGATATCAGTGTTAAAATTCTATTTTTTGGTTTCTTTAAGCATTGGTATGCATCTATCTATAATGTGAGGTTAAGACTTCATTAATAATTAAACAAGATGGATAAAAAAACCTGTCTGTAAAGGTGTTTCTTTATCTCTTTAAGTGAAGAAATCTATGGATTACTCAGAAGAGGTTTTTGAGATCTGACAAATTGGCAAGCTAACCATGACATTTCATGAAATAATGTAAATATGGCTAAAATAAAATAGAAAAACAAAACGAAAATATTGAAGCCAAATCAAAAAAACAAAAAAACAAAAAAACACACAATTTTTAATATGAATAAATTTACAAGCCTATTTACATTTTAAAGTATTCCAAAAGCATTCAGCTGCTTTCATGAAGACAAAATGATTGGCAGCAATGAGACAGACGAGCACAGGCAGCCCAAACTCTGTTATTTCTCCAATTATTTTGCATGTACATGTAATAGGATGAAAACTTCTCAGAACACTACATATATATCACTACACGTACACCAGGCAACCTTTTTCAGTCTCATTTAAATATTTACATATATAATACGACATTCACCAACAAATACATTATATATTTAGTCCGTACAGAGGTTTGTCTGACTGTATAAAATGTGAGACGAGCACAGTGGCTGACATCGTATAATACATAGCGTATATTAATATATATAAAAGAGCATTTCAAAGAAAATTAGCTCATACCAATTCATTTGTTCCATTTCTAGTTTGGCCAAGAAAGCCTGTAAAGAATCTTTGACTTCCTGGACCCGACTGGAGATCGCTCCAAGAGAGGCTTCGATCAGTTTTTCTTCCTAATAGAACCAAAAAGAAGCGTTCAGACTGCTGAATCTTAAAGAAATAGAAGGCTATTGGACTTAGAAATAATACCTGCATCTTCATTCTCTCAGTACTTGTGTTAAGATTCACAAATTTGAAGAGAAATTTAGAACCGAAATTTGAAAAGAAAATTAATTTTGAAAACTGAAAGCAGGCTCAAAGATTGATCAGCGGTTCTTGAAGAGCATGCGTACRAATGGCTAGAATTCAAAATGGCGGACGGAAAGTGTCTAAGCGTTTTGAGAAATATTGCAAGGTTTTACTTACTTTAGCATTGGTAGGATACGCCTTAGGGACTTGCTATGCCATTTTTGCACTATGGCCAAAGGGTCACGAAGAGAAAAACCAGTTTGGTCAAGTAAAATCAGTAAACAGGACTTTTCCACCAGTTCCCTATAAAGATGTGGACGTGGAAGTTTGGGGGAAGGCGGCAATAGGATTGTACTTTTGGCAGCATGTTTTTGAAGGCCCCTTGGTTGATAGAATGGGCGGTATGTGGAGTTATGGAGAAAAGACTGTTGGGCCATTCAAGTTCAAATTTCGCACTGGCCCTGGTGTTATCTCTGATAAGGTCCCACAAGGAATCAAGCACCTTGTTTTGATATTAAATGGGCGTGAACAAAGCAAAATAGATTTTGCGAAAGTTTGGCTGGACTCTTTACAGAACTTTGACCATTTAAAAAACGTTGCAGTAGTGTTGCTAGGCAACGAATATTGTGATAATGGCTGGTTTGAAGAGTATATGAGAAGTCAAGGTGGATTGGTAAAATTAGCATTTGTGGTGTATGACATTCCAAACAGAGACAACAGTGTATTTTTCCAATGGCCCCTGGGAGTAGCAACATACAGAAGTTTTCCAAATATTAAGCCTTTCAAAGTGGAATTAGAAAAGCCACGAAAATATATCTGTAATTTTCTGGGAACTGTTTATGAAAATTCTTCAAGGGTGCTTTTGAGAAAGATCATTGAAGTTCACAAGTTGGATCAAGTTTGTTATGTTCATTACAGAGAGAACTGGCTCCCAAAAGAGAGTACTGAGTCTAAAAATCAGTATCATAATGCTCTCGCAAATAGTGACATCACTTTATGTCCGGTAGGGATTAATACTGAATGTTACAGAATATATGAAGCTTGCTCCTATGGATCTGTTCCAGTGATAGAGGATATCATGACCCCTGGGAATTGTGGGAAGGAAGGAGGTTTATCTCCTTTGTATATATTAAAAAAATATAAAGCTCCTTTCATATTTATCAAAAACTGGGCAGAATTGCCAAAGGTTATTGAGAGTGAAAAATTAATGAGTCAATATGAGCTTGCTGATAGAAGAAAAATGATTATCAATTGGTACAAAAAATTTAAGGATCAACTTAAAATTCATTTTGTGCAGACTTTAATCAAGAAATTTGAAATATGAATTATTTTTGTCCCATCCATGCTATATTAATTGATGAGGGTAATTTGATATTATACTAGTAAGTTCTACTAACTCATTTAAAATGTGGAATTTACAGTGAACTGTGAACACCATAAAATGCATACTATAATGCATCCCTTGAGCCAATCAATAGACCTCCTCGGCTCGGGCGTAATAATTTCCCATTTCAGACCACGTGGCATTCCCTGGAGAATAAGATTCTTTGTTTGAGTTGTGTCAATACTCATGTGCCTTCTCATGTTCAACGGAGCTCAAGCATTAAACAAATTAATGATACTCTAGGAAATGACACCTGGGGGGGGGGGGGGTACTCCACTATATTCACTATACGGGTACGTGCCGCCAAACAGTGTATGGTTTTCAGCGATTCTACTCTGGAACAGAGTATATAAAATCTCGCTCGCTCTGGAACAGAGTATATAAAATCTTGCTCGCTCTGGAACAGGGTATTTATTTTTGCAATCCCGGAACAGGGTATGGTTTTCTGCGATCTTGCTCTGGAACAGGGTATGAATTTCAGTGATTTTACTCTGGAACAGGATCAGGGTTCAGAGGGCGCAGTGGCACATCCCTACCCTAAACAGGCAAGAGTACCCCCCGGGAATGACACATGGTCTGAAATGGGAAAACATTACTTCTGAGCCAAGGAGGTCTATTGGAAATAAGATTCCTTTTGATCACTTTGATTTTGATCATTGATTCATTTTTGGGTGTATTTGAAATCAGTGCTTCATTTTAGAGGGTTTGAAACAGTAGAGAGTTCAAGAAATAATATTTTGAAAAACCTCAAGTAATTGTATTTATCTAGTCCTCTTTTATGAGGTATATATATATAACATTATTTTAGTCTTGTTCATAAGGGTGATAAGCTGTAATAAATAAAATATATTATATTAAGTATGCAAAATGTTTGTTATCGTTAAGGATGTTATCTAGCATACGAGTATATATTTTATGTTTGGTTATGATATGATGAATTTTTTTCTTTGTGTGAAAGTGTATTGTTTTTTCCCCTGCTTGCACCACTCACCACCTCTCTTCATTCCACTTAATTAACAAAAGGGACTACTTTCAGTCCAGAAAAACCATTATAAGCTTTCCATAAAAATGCCAGTTTAGTATTACATCATTTTTTTTGTGAAAAAAATACCCACACTCTCCTCCCTTACAAAATCTACAAAGGAAAAAAAATAGCTTGCCACTCCACTTCAAATTCTCCTTACTTCCGACACTGAATAAAATGGAATCCGGGAATAATTATTTTACAGCGCATTTTACAGAAAATACATGTATTTCTTCGTAACATGGCCAGTAGTACTAAACTGCGTCATTGACATGGGGACCCTGGGGGGTCCCCCCCGGGATATAGGTTTTTGACGGTATGCAGTATGTCAGTACAGCGGTAATTATAGTACGAAACAAACATGGCGGCGGATATTTTTGGAAGTGTTCGTGAAAAAAGTCAAATATTTGATCCGAATTATCGAATATATTAGTGCAAAATGGCTAAATTTTGAAATAGTACATAATAACGTGTCTTTGTGCTGAAAATGGATAAAGATAACGTAGAAAAGGTTGCCAGTTGTGAGGTAAGTCATGACGAGTCTTCAATTATCTGAACCTAAAGTCACGAATGAATTAATCTTAAGCAACTTAAGTCTGTTGTTGTTATTACAGCTATTTCTAGCTTAATCTTATTTAGCTGTTATTTTCTGATGTAGCTAAAATAATGTGGTTCTCCTCACTTAGAGAAAAAAATTCAATGGCAGGCCAGATTCCAACACGGCACCCTTGGCACCAAATGCTACTTTATTACAGTACAATGCCTATCCCAACCCTAACCCTAAACCTTACCACTCAGCCACGAAGTGAATTCGCTGGAATGCTTACCGATTTTTGTCATGTTTAAGACAATATCACAATATTTAAATATCCGTATGAATAGAAATTGCAAGTTGGTGTAGGGTTACTGTACGAATAGCCACTGCATACCGTTTTACTGTTGAATCAAGGATAAAAGCTTAATTTAATTATTGTTGTTTGTTGTGCTTGCTCCTTGCATTAAACAATTGAAATAGATACAAGAGACCTTCTTATGTATTGAAGAGGGAGTATGGGTCTGGGTGTCCTGAGCGAAATGGGGGGAGTCTTCAAATTGTATTGTCTCTACAAAGTCGGGTCTTGAAAAAATTGATGGGTTATATCTAGGAGGTCTTTAAAATGCCTACATAAAGTATTTCCCTTTAGGAATAGAGGATCCTGAAAGCAAATTGACATACCTTTTATGGGGGGTTGGACTTTTCTCGTCCGACCTCCACCCCCTCTCCCCTATTCCAGTAGATACTATAGTGGCTGACCCCAAAAGTTCGTTTGCTCTGCAGGAAAATGCTGGTCAAGTATTTCTTCTGATGGGAAGGGAGTACAGAATATCAAGAAGTATTAGAGCTCAGTGGTTCTTTCAACAATTCAACTCTATTCTTCCTCAGCCCAAGCCCCAGGATGAATTAGTAAGAACATCAAGATGCATGTACCTTACAGTACAGAAAAATAAATATTTGTACTTATAATACACTCAACCAAATTACTCGATTCTGATTGTGCAAGAGGAGTATAATTAAATTCCAAATTGTATTCTGTAGATTCCAATAAAGTTGCTCAATTTTTTGAGTGTCTTATAAATAAAAAAATCACACAATCTTCTCATATAATTTATAGAGGCTCGTTCAATTTTGAAAACTTTCAAAAAATCACTCGTACAGTACTTATGAATTTCGAATTGTACTTGAGATGATGTTATTTCCTATACTAATCTTTAATATTAATAAGTGAAAAAAAAAGTGAACATGCTGATCAGCCTGCTTTTTTTCTCACCTTCCACATACGATTATTCTATTCATAATCCTCTCTCATGCCTATACTGTACCTTCCACACACACAATGAATGTATTCTATGCATGGTCCTCTCTCACACCCATACTTAGTCCAGACGCTATACCCTCTCCTTTGCCTCTCCACTTTTGTTTTTGGGCTTCCTGTGTCACGGACTGTACCTGTATCAATATCCAGGCCACAAGATAAACTAGCAAAAATAGATAAACATACAATTTTATATCATCTCCTCCTTCATAACCTAGCTGACTTTGGTTAATCCCCCAACCGAAATGCCAATTATTGCTCCCGATGTCACCAAGCTGAGTTTTCACACCAGAAAAAACATAGCCATGGTCATGCTTCCAACATGTACCACTCCACTGACAAACATCAAACTTTTAGTCTGCATTCCTTTCTTTATGTGGCCTCATCCTTTCATAATTTTTATTCCCAAAACTAATCAAAACTATACTGACTCATGGAGAAAGGAATGTATAGACTAAAAGTTTAATAATTGTAAACAAAGTTGTAAACATTTGGAGATGTGAACTTCGCATATTTTTCTGGTGTCAAAACCCAGATCAGTGACATCTGTAGTATACTTATTCATATACTTACATATGTGTCCATTTTCCCATAATCATAACCTTACTTATAACATAATTATATAAATATACTAGACCCACACATATGTCAATAAAATTTATTTAATATCCTAATACCCCTACCAATAGCCACGCCCATTCCCATACCAATGCCCTCTAGCCAGTCCCATGATCTTACCCATCATTTCGGTTAATTAGGCTAATGAAATTCCCTCGTTTTGGTATTTTAGTTGGCATCCAATGAGGAGCTGGAGATTCTCTCAATACTGCCGAGTGAGTCATTTGATACAGCAACCTCACATAGAGACAAGACTCTATGCCTTGTACCCTCTACCCATATGACATTCATTGGTAGACGATATCGCTTTGTCTTTTGCCTAGATGTCAGTCCTTCATTGGCTACGGTGGTAAGTAGGTCACATGATTACAGGTTAATTACAGTGCGGACACACTAACCATGAAGATTAAAAACTTTAGCCATCAGGAGAGACCAAAATCAGTATCACATTGACCTCATCCAGTTACTTGTTTCTCATTCCCATGGTTGTTGATCACATATATATACACCTACTTGCAAGAATGTTGCCATATGAAAATAGAACATTAGTGGTTTAGTGGGATAGGAATTATATTAAAAAACAAAAAAAGATCACTGAAGCTGAACTGTTTCTTTTGTCTTTTAATGATTCCTTTCTCACTAAAATACTAATGTTCTATTCTTGTATGACAACCTTCATGCAAGTAGGTGTGATTATTTTCTCAGATATCCACCATTCATTGCTTGCTTCTGATTGGTTGTAATTTGACTTACTGTATTTCCTTTTTCACTCTATGTCGAGACGGGTTAACTTTTTTCAAATGGTCCCACTTAGTGTGTCTGCACAGTAGTCATTCCAACAATCATTGCCTACACTATTATTAACGATTGAGCAATACACTACATGAGGTAATATGTTTTTTTCTTGCAATAGGACATTCAGTCTGGTGATGTGATTACAGATGAAGTTTTTCAAAAACTGAAAAATTGTTTATCAGCGCTGGTTGCACCTGTAAGTTCTAATCAACATATATGATACACCTCTTTACCTCGGGCGTAATGCTTTCCCATTTCAGACCAACTGTGACATTCCATTGAGAATAAGAAGTTTTTGTTTGAGTTGTATCGATATTCATGTGTCTTCTCATGTACAGTGATTAAATAAAGAAATGATGGTAGGAGGTATGACCAAGCAACTTACCCACCATTATTCTAAGCTCCACATAAAATTATCATATTTGTTATTAATCTTGGCTTTGTCATTGCAGTTTTCAGTTCCTGGTAACAATGTTATCCTTCGTCCCGAGCTTTACATAACTATCATTGCATATACCTCAATATTAAGTCCAGAAACTCCACAGGTAAATTGAATTTTTTTTATGTATTCAATCTATTCAATCCTGATTTTTATTATATTTTATTATTTCAATAGTTTTTATTAATCACAAATAACTAATAATAAAGTGATTATAAGTATAGATGCTGACTCTGTATTTGTGACTCTGTATCTGTATTTGTGATTTGTGCATTAAGACTTTTACATATACTTACTGCACACATCTAAAATTAAAACTGGTTTCACAGTGTCTGATACACAAATTATGTTGTTGTTAGTGAAAGATTCATGCTGTAGATTGGTCTTTTCTCCTCAGATTTTACTTCAAGGTTGCCTCATCACTGAAGAAAATCTCGATTTTATCCTTGACTCTATATACAACAAGCTATCAAAACTAGAAGACACATTGGCTGCAACAGTAGCATTGACAGGAGAAAGTGACCCCAAACCACAGTCTCAAAAGACAGAGGGGGATTCTGACAGCATACAGAATGACACTATAACTCTATTGTCGCCCGAGGCTGGACCCATTTCAATGCTTAGGAGTGCAATTCTTGCTTTACAACTTCTGCCTGATAATGCAAGTGCTGGTATGTTTAAGTGTTCTGAAATGTTAATTTCAATTTATGTTGGGCTCCCTGTGGTTTTGTATCCATAGGAATCCCAAAATACTGGTAGTGAACCACATCTAACTCATATCAATTTTCAGTATTTCTATTCCTTACAGTACATGTACTAACAGTGAAGTAAATGTAAGATTTGTAAGCTATTTTTAATTTTTGGTATTCATTTTAGGTGCTGTAGTGATTACTGATGGAGTATTTGCCTTGCCTGATGCATCAGCAGTTGATTCCCTTTTAGCACAGTTAAGAGCAAGTACTGTATGCTGCTCATTTATTAAGGTTGGCAGTGGATTCCATGCTCATTGCAGGTAATGCACTTGCGACTCAAACCCATACATAAACCATGACTGCATGGTTAAAATACTTGCAAAACCTGAGTACAACTACTTTACTTTTAAATAGTACTCCAAAAACTCAGGAGTGGAAATCTTGATTAATAATATTCTTTTATGAGATCGTTTTTGAAGCAGTTAATCATTAATAAACTCACAGCATGTCAGCTATGTCTTGTTTTTTTTTAACCCTATAAAACACTGCAGATGCTAGTTTATAAAATAGTACAATAAACATAATGTACTGTATCGTACACAGAGTGTACTATATCCTGAATTCTGTACTTAACCAGAGACAGGGTCTGAATGGAATTTGATAACCTGACAGTTATTATGAAATTGATGTACATTATGCCTTAGTTATAATTATGATGATCTATTTTTAGTATTGGTTATGTGCCCCACTGTGATCTGATGCAGTTTATTGCTATGGCAACATCTGGTGCATATCTAGCAAAGGCACCTCAAGTAAGTTATTTTTTATCAATAATAAATCAGTCTCTACAATATTTATAACTCATTTAAGCTGTTTTATGAATTAAAGTGTTTGGCGTCCTTAATTTGACTTTGAATTCCAAAACAGGTTGCAAGAGAAGCACAAAAAGATGGGGCTCATGGTTCGTACATTACATTGTAAAGTTTCAAAAATTCAGAAGACCACTTATTTTTAATATATCTTGTTATATATCTTATTCTCAAGAGAATGATATGAGATCTGAAGTGGGAAAACATTACCCAATGTCAGTGGCAGAGGCAAGGGTAATTCTGTGGGTTTCATGGAACTCCACTTTGTGAGATCTTGTGAAGCCAATCATGTTCTTTACACTCAGTAGAATGAAATTGAAACCCCCTTTGTATAGCCAATCTCACCAGCTTTTTTCTGCATAGCTGCCATTTTGGAACCCGCCTTTTTAAAATCCCGTATCTGCCACTGAAAGTTAAGAGGTCTATTAATATGTTTATATTGATGCTTTAATTTTTTCCCCTCAGATTTGCCAGTAATGAATCTGTATCACAAGGCTCTACTGTGTTGGAGTTTTCAAAAGGACTACGACTTGAGCAAGATTGACTCTTGGATAGGTGAATACCACCCCAACTACATCATACATTAATAACTAACTAATGATTTACCAGTTAAGGTAAAAAAATCAATTTGTTGCATTAGCTTGCAAGCAGTCTTTCTATTTCCCTTGGTATCAATGTCTGGTGTCTAATCCTACAAAGGATTAGTAACAAGTCTAAAGGCCCCACTCAGGGGAGCAGGTAATGTTATCTCTCTCTAACATCTCCCACACATCTCAGCCTTATACTTGCTTACTAGCCAACAACTGAAAAGTTGGTAAAAGGTATTAACAAGAAAAATGTAGAGCCTGCTCTTAGTCCAAAGTATCGTCATGCGATTTAACAGTGACATTTCTAAAGAATGGCTTTTCAACTCAATTTCAAATTTTCAGAATTTATTTAAAACCCCTCAAAGCACAGGAGAGCACCAACAAGCAACTCTACTCACATAAAGTTAATAGGACACAGAGCCTGGTGGGACTTGAAACCAGGGTTGCATCAGTGAGAGGCGAGCACCCTCACTGCTACAGCTGTCATCGCCCATGATTTCCATATGAGAAGAAGTGAAAGCAAGATGTAGTCATGTCAGCTAATCTCACTAAGCTCTCTTTCTTATCCATAGCACTGCTTAATATAAAATAAAGGTCATGATATTATTTGTGTCTTAGGTGATGCTATTAATCTCAGTGAAGATGACTTGGCCTTGCCATTGGTTGGAGTAAGGTACAGCAAACCATCTCTGAATTGTGTTTTTAAACATTAATATTTAAGAATACCTCATTATGTCCAATATACTGTAGACCAGTAAAAACTTTGAAACTCAAATGTGCTCAGAAAAACTACAAAAAATCTGAGCAGATTGTCAATGATCTATGATAATTTTTTTGTTAGTAGACAGGTGGGCTTATAATCAGAGTTGGGGGGAGGGGTGGGGGTTTCTTGTGATAAGGGTTCAGTCTATGGTATAATAATAGATGGTATTTTGCATAATGCCTTCAGTAAAGCACCTTTGTTATGTTGGTATCCTCAATAAACATTTGCTTCATATTTCTTTAATATTTCCAGGTCAACATTGTCATATGCTCTGAGTGAATGGGAAAGGAATGCTATGCAGCCATCCATGCACAAAAAACAGATGGAATCCAAGCTACACACCAGTATTACCAGGTACACAGTCACTTTTAATACATGTCATGACTAAGCTTCTTTCCAAAAAAAAAAGTAAATTCTTGAAATTAACAATGAAGAATAAAGAATGAAGAATGACTGGAATGGACTTTGTGGATGTAGTTCTATAGTTTGTGTCATTGTTCACAAATCACGGTGGCTCGGCACGTAAGATTAAATTCTCCAAGTTAACTGCCTTGAAACTAAAATAATAATAATAATAATAATAATAATAATAATGGTTTAATCAATAGAATCCACGAGGTGGCTCTTCACCTATCGATAAAACTATCTAATTTACAATAACATACACACAAGATAAATTTACGATAAACTATGAAGCTATAAAATAAATTAGACATAATAAGAAATAAGATTGACATAATTACTATTGGATTATTCTAAGCTAGACAATTATTATACATAAAAAAAAAGGACAAAATCTGAAGATATTGGGGCTACGCCCACCGCCCCCAAGCAACCACCCCAGGTCGAGATATTCGGGGCAACAGACAAAGACAAAACTGTCCCAAATGCCACGACCCAATAATTGCCCAGGGTACAGCAGCGCATCACCAATATCCATCAATCAGGTGAAAGATAAATTAATTAATAAAAATCAAGTAATGTCATATCGCTTCTTTAGCTCTGCTTTCACTTTAGAACAAAATAAACTATAACTAGAAATGTCTTTTATATTATTTGGCAAATTATTAAAATGACACACATTTTGGTTTTGGCAGAAAGAATGCTGTGAAAACAGGAAGGCAGCACCACAAAACGTGGCTGCTATATCAGAAAATATATATAACTAGTTCCCTAACTAGATCTAATACCTATGTACTGTGGACAACCTATTTGATATTCGACTAATAATATTTGCCATTCTTGTTGATGTCGTAGTGTCATCAGTGTTCGTCTTCGTGAAGGCTACTCAGTACAAGATGTTTCCATCACAAAAGGTATTTGGAAAGTTACACACCTTCACAATAGTTATACAGGCTATTCCCAGCATCACTCAAGGTCTTTAGGTACACACATACACTTTTGGATGAGTGATCCAGTGATCCAATACAAGCTTTGCACCATAACGTTATGGCAGCCATGACAAGAGTCACAACAATTATAGTCTTTTTCTCCTGAGAAACTGCTGAATTCTTTTTCATGTAATATATCACTTGAAACCTGTGGAGCATTTTTGAAAGTGAGCATTGGGGGTTCAAATCCATAAACCAGTGTATATAGGAAAAATATTAACTGTTCTACCAAATGAAAAAGAAAATACAGAAAAAAGGGCACCTGACTATAGCCCTCCCTTCCCTTCCCCTCGTCCCCATTTCCCCTGAGGGAAGTAGTTAATGTAATACTACCAGTGGCTGATAATTTATACCTCTGTTAGGTGGCAAACAACTGGAGGTAAAACTCACCCTTCCTTGGAAACAGCATGTACAGATTGAGTACACTGCTATTGCTGTAAGTTAAAGATCACTCATCTGTGGGCAGGGTCCTACTTTAACACAATGAAAAATGAAAATTCAGTGAAATTGAGAAGCCAGTTTTATATTTAAAGAGGAGATTTTTATCATAAAGCTTATGTTCTGGTATCGTGGCCCATCAAATTTCTTAAATTTGGATTAGTGTGCAACCTTGAGAAAAAGGTGTATTTTATTAAAATCCTGGATTCATGGTCACAGTATTTCATGTTCACACGTCTTCACAATTATCATAAAATCTGTTCTGACAACTAATTGCATCCTGCCAATACAACAATATTACAGCTGTACATGTACTTCAAGCTTATGTTTTTAAATTAAATTAACAATTTTCTTCTCTTTTATAAATGGTTTCAGGCATGGCCTCTTAGTAGATCAAAGTAAGTACAAGTCCTTACAAATATCAAATTAATAATACAGTAATAAATACCCTGCGAGCAGAAGTTAAAATGGAGGGCAGAAAAAGACCTCTTCTAGCTAGCTTTCATAATAAATAAATAATAAATAAATTATGATTATGATGATAATATAAATTATAATAATATTAAGAAATAATGATGTTATATATTGATAATGAGCTTAATATTCTTATTAATAAGCATATTTATTTATTATTATTAATATAATTGCTTATATTTTGTGTAGCCGTATAACACATGTTGAGGTGACAATAACAGCTCCGTATGAATTCTTACATGATGTGTCATACTTGACCAAGGAGCCTTTTACCAGTGGATACAGGTACTGTATGTGGGAATATATTTTATAGTACAGCAAATATATGATATCAACCTCAAGTACGGATCAGGCAGATTAGCACAAAGGTTACAGACCTGCAGACCTCAAATTTAACTTTGAAACATTAAAAAAGACTTCATATACATTGTAATATGCCTTTCTGGGTTATAGCCACCTTGTATCAAAATCGTATGGACCTGCCGACAATGTATGAACCTTGAAGCTACCAGGCTACCCTTTCAGTGTTATGCTTTCTCTTTCTCTTTTCATTCCATTCCTTTTCCTCTATTTTTGCTATGTTTATTTAATAGATAATAATAAAAGTATTTACCATATAATTATGTATTCTTTATATTCTTCCTTTCACAGAGCCATGGTTGTAAAGAAGTTTCGTCAGACTATGAAAAAGTAAGGACGCTTATTAGCGCTCCTAAATTTCATGTTTTTTCATGTTACTTTTGATGCTGCTGAAGTGCTAAATATACTGTTTCTTGTCTTCTTTTAGCATTCAAAGTACAGATGAGCTACTCTTACATCTACAGTCCTTCGCATCTAACCCTGTCTACTACACTATTCCTGAAAGTGCCAAGAATGGTGTACCATTATTTTATCTGCCGCCAAACTCCAGCAATCCAGTAAGTCTGGCCATGGCTCCCTTTCCTTAATGTGTAACTTAATGAATAATCAGTACTTGGGTAGCATCCATGGATGGTTTACGCTGCTAATGATAAGTAATGGTACAACGATAAGTTTGTCACAGGAGGCCCCCATTCAAGTCCCCTTGCCCAAGCTAGTATGTGAGTTGACTTTGTTCAATTTGCTCTCCTATGCTGTGAGAAATTTTCTCTGGTTTTCCTTCCTGAGGTTAAAAATCAACATGTGAGTTGATGTGAGTTGGTGTGCATAGAACATTGCTTGTAGCAGAGTGTGTCCAAGTGAACCAAATGTTCTCAATTAGTCCAAAAGTGCTAGAACAACTCGACACTTACACTGTAAACCTTCCCCACCCCCTGGGGAAGATATTATCTCTCACTAACAACTAAGTTAATGTAAAAAGTCCTTTTTTCATCCATCCAGAGTTACTAACACATTCAATTTTCTATGCTTCTTTCTGTAGGTGTTGTCAGTACAACATGAAAAGTAAGTTGGTTATCTTAATCGTCCATGTTGTGTTGATGTTGGTATAAAAATAATACATCCATCAGTTCTTAGGAAAGCAATTGAAATTAGGTGTATATAAAAGAGAAATTCTAGACTTCTTCTTTCCAACCGCACAAAATTTTGGTTTCACTGTAAACTTTTTCCCCGGGGCCCGGGACTTTTTGAGATCGATTTTCAACTTTGTTTCATTAAAAATAATTCCAGATGCTTGTAAAACAAGTTACTGTTGTAAATAGTTCTTTCGTGCGTATTTTTTCTGATCTCTGCTTTCTGTTTTATCTTATTTTAGAAAAATCTCAAAATCACAAGAATCTCAATTTGCTGTGTTTTGGAAGCCAGTATTGACCCTTGATACTACGACATGGTAAGAAAGGTTCCATTGAATAAGATTCAACTTTGGAACGACGCATAAGTTTCTCATGGTCCTTGAAACAGAGAACGAATTATAATTAAGATGTTGATTTTTATGGAAGGTGGAAAATAATAATAATAAATAATAATTTAATACTTATAGTGCGCATTTTTCATGTCGAAATAATCAAATGCGCCAAGTGGATTGCCTCCATAATACAATAATAACATTGGCGCAAGTGTTCAATTTTCATCTTTCTGACAAAAGTTTGTATATACACGTATGGTTACGGGAAAAAGGCGTACCGCCTAACTATACATTAACTTCAAATTCCAAGGGCGGATCCAGGGGGAGGGTCGGGGGGGTCGCGACCCCCCTGTCATTCCTGAGGTCAAATGGGCTTCCTGTGGTAAAAATGCGACTGGGATTCCTTTGCCCACAAAATTTACCCCTGAGACCCCCCCTTCAAAAAACCCTGGATCCGCCCTTGAATTCACGACACTTTTGAAAGCCTGTTGTTATGGTTCTTTTAATTTAAGCGTTAAAATTTTCCAGATTTACTAATCTTTAGATGCTTTCTGAGTAAAATCCATGAATCCTTATAATATTGCAAAATACATATTGTAGTTTATCAACTCATTGTATTTTGCAGGCAGCGATGGATGCACTGTCATCGGATAGGTCTTCTTCTGGAGCATGACATGTATGGAATACTTATATTCGTTTGTTCTGTTATGGTTGCCAGTCTAACGGGTTGGGGGGAGGGGGTCTTACCTATTTACCAGCCACAGTTGCTTTATAAAAAAGGATTAAAAGCTCTAAGAGATTTTCCTCAAGTGTTACGCTAATACATAAAACCAATTTGTGAAATGCATCGTTTTCTGATATGTGTGATGATGTCATCATTCATACGTAATTTAACACGTCCTATTTTATTTAAAAAAAAAGAAAATTGTGCATTTGGTCGGTTTGACCATAGTTAATAGAGGGGGATGGTTAGGAAACCTATTGTTATGAGGTCTTTGTTCGCTTATGAGGTTGAACCGGTCTTGACAGTGCACATTATGTTCGATTTATGCTCATCCGAAATTGCAAAATAAGCAAACATAAAGTTTGTCTATGGGATTGTTGTAAGGAATATTTAAATATCTCTTATAAATCTTTAAGTATTTTGAACTAGAAGCCAAAAGAAAGATTTTGGTCTGTTCACTCAGCCATTGCCAACAATGGTAAAACGATGGTAAAACAAAGGATTGTGCACGGTCACGCTTAAAAAAAGTGAACAATAACCTATAACAATAGGGTCACTTTCCTAACCTTTCCCCTCTATTAACTATGGTTTGACCCAAAAACAAGCTAAATTTTAACTGAGATGAATTGAAACAAAGTTAGATGGGAACGTTAATGGCGTCGCATCCTTAATTAACTAGAGACGTTAAAAGAGGAACACTAGTTTATCAGTTGAAGGCATTCCGTCAAGTGTTATCCTCTATAAACAAAGCTCTTTTATTATTCCTTTCAATAATAATCTAATATTATATATGTTTTTATCTTGCAGTCCCTTGCCTAAGAATCTCCATCTGCCTATCGGTAATGAACGCTTTCATTCAATTCAATGTCGAATGGCGCTTAGTTCGCTCAACTCTCTGTTACGTCAGATGAGCTCGTTTGTTCTTCTGGAAAATCATTCATACATCAAGTTTATTGAGGGGTGAGTTTTGCCCACTTTAGAAACGAGTATAAACAAGGCTTATTCCCATGACGAGAAAGAGCACATCAAAATTAACAGGTTTCTGTAGTTTGACTTTGATTGGCTAAGTAACAGCTAAATTATGAGCAATCAAAAACATCAAAAATTACAAAGACATTTATGTTTTATGTTAACGATCGTCCCCAGTAACCATACATTTCTTTGCAATTTTTGAGAAGTTTGGGAGGTTGCTACCCAAAATGTATGCAACCCGAAATCTTGAAACTCCAAAAATGTACTAATTTTGGATGTACTCTTTATTGTCATGGTGTTTATATAGGGTAATTCTAAAAACTCGTTCCCAGTCCTCCACTATTTCTTGAAGTTCAGCCTGTCAGATGGCGAAAAAATACCTAACTTTAGTATACTTGGGTGATATTGTTGCAGGGATACGCCAGAGAGTCCACCATCTTCGTTCTGTCTGATAAGAGTGTCGTCACGTGCCCCGTGTATTGTAATTAGGCTGGCCTTCCTAGGAGGTACACCAGGGAACGTTAGACACATGGTAAGAAATACTCGATACATTACTGACCGAAGAAACAAAAAACGCGCGCGCGTGCAGTGATAAAGCACTCGGAGATTAGGGTTTGATTTGGGTAGCATGGGTGGCGTTCGCGGCCAACGCGTCGCCTTTCACTGCTGTGAGTCCAACGGGTCGGGTCGCTGGTTCAAGTCCTGCGGTCGCCACATGTGAATTGAGTTTGTTTGATGTGTTGTTCTCTCCTATGCTACGAGGGTTTTCTCCGGGTTCTCCGGTTTCCTCCCTCCGTAAAAATCAACATGTGAGTTGAGCGGTTGTGTGCATAGAATATTAAATGTAGTGGTAGTGCGTGTGAGCGAAAAGTGTCACCAATTAGTGCGAAAGCGCTAGAACGACTAGACACTTAAATAAAAGTGATTTATTTATGTTTTTTTTAGCAAAACACGAAGCGCAGCGGAAAAAGGCATGAATAAAGCAAATTTTATGTGTTTGTGAAAAAATTAATAACTTTTTAAATCACGCGCGCATTTTTGGGCTCGAATATTATCGTCCATTACAACAATCAACCCCCGTACAGGGCTCTTCCGTGATGTTCCCTCCACACGCACTACGTGCAAGGGAGAGAACTACACACTCACATATGATTCAGTTTGAGCCGGGGTCGAACCTGGACCACAGCAGTGACCTATACCCTGACCGAGCCGTGTTCCATTAATGTTTGCGCTAATATGAATTCTACTCTGTTAAGCTGTCAATGTCGATGTTGCTTTCGCTGTCGCTGTCAATATGAATGAAAGCGCATTTTTTACGGCATATTTTATTTGTGCTGACCTTATTGACATATGATCCACAAAATATTTCATGTTTGGTATGCAACATGCGACATGTATCAAAACCTTCACCAACCTTTTCTTAAGTGGCTGTATATGTTCCTAACGAGATATGCCGTGAAAGACACGAAACAAACAAACAAAAAATCGCAGAATTGTGAAGATGTTTTTCCCTCTTCAGATAACTAAGGAGATCAGATCCAAACTAATTGAGGTAACAGCGCCAATTGGCCCTATCAGCAAAACGACAAAGATTCAAGTCAGCCAGAACAAAAGCAAAAAACGTGGAAGTCAGCGGCTAGCTGAAGAAAAGCCATGCGTTCTGGTGTTAGAAAAACCCTTAGAACGTGTTCTTGTTCGGTAAGTAGTCAAGGGATCGCGGTAGTGATAGTAATACCTTTTTTTACTTTTAACGTCACGGTTTTATAATTTACAATTATTTGTTAAGCCACGAGTCTTCGAGTGAGGTAAATATTTAACACTTATTTACTGGGACCGAGGGAAACAGTATGTTTTGTGGTCCCGAGGGAAACATCAGCGGTCGAAGGACCACAAAAATACTTCTTTCCCGAGGTCCCAGTAAATAAGTGCTTTATTATCATACCAAATGTCAAAGAGAATAAAACAAAAATGGAGAAATGAATAATGTTTCGTGAAAGAAAAAGTGTGAATAAATTTTGCAAACGAGCGCTCAAATGTGTTGCTTTCTGGTTTCCGGTCTTTATATTTTTTCAATCACGTGACTTCCGGTTTTGTTATTCCCAGTCCATAACATAATATTCCACTCCCAGAATGGTCGCCAGGAAACAGTCGAATTTCTTCACATTCACGTGACACACTCTCGACCAATAGAAATTGAGGAAAATTGAACTTTGACACTTGGTATATAATAATTACGGATATTCACTGATCCTGAGGCGAATAATTTTAGTATCTTTGTGATTTTTGAAAGAAAATAGACAACATTGGGGCTCATTTCTAAAACTTATATGAAATAATTTATATTTTGTGTTTTGAAAGCTGCGTGCAACCAAAAGGGCGTTAAAGAGTTTATTTCGTTTCTGACTTTCTTTTCCCAATAAACCCTTTTCGACTTCCAAATTACCGCTGTGTTTCTTGATTACAGACTCATTTACTCAGGCTAAGCCTCGATTTTGTGAAAAATATTTACGTGTTCCAGTCAAGGTCCGTCAAGTTTCAAAGTGCTCGTATTGTTGAAGTTGTGCATTCTTTACTTTGCCGTTGGTATTTGCGAGTAATTAGACACTGATTCGAGGCTAACCCTGTGCAAATGAGTCTGTAATCAAGAAACACAGCGGTAATTTCGATCTCGAAACTGGACTTTTCGCTCTGTTTCATTGTTATCCTTTCATTTCCTTTTGCAACAGTTACGATCGAGTTCCAGAAGATCTGTTCTTCCCGTACCCCGACGTTCTTTTATACTCAGTATACAGTACCAATACTGGTCTTCAGTATGCCAACAGAACCAATGATAACCATATGAAGGTATTATGTCATTACCTGTACCATCAACGATGGGTGTGGTCAGTACAGGAAGATGAGCCCAGTCATAGTAACGCTGAATTTGTTGCCAGAGTACTGACAACACTTACCAAGTAAGTGCATCTTAAAATAGTCTTATAGAGAAGTTTTCGCATGACTGTGAAAAGCTCAGTGCCGTAAGTGTGCCGTGCCGTGACCGTAATGCTTTCTACAATTTTAATTGGCTGATTTTTTCCCCGCGCAATGTGTGTGCCGTAGCCTTGGCGTGACCTTGTTCGCGCCGTGTTTATGCCGTGTTCTGGGTCTTCGATTGGAAGGAGAGTAAATTATCGAGCAATGTGATTGATTTGACGTATCCCTTGCCGGGTCACGACCGTATTCGTGCTGTGAGCTATTCACAGTCGTACGAAAACTGCTCTTTCATCAGACAATAGTAGTTCTTTTTTTCATCGAGGTTATCACATATGCTGTTAGGAAAAAACATTGGAAATTTTCCTAATAAGAAAGTTAATGATAAAAAATATTTGTTTTTCAGGCTACGCTTACAAGAGAAATTCAACATTGCGTGTAGCAATGCTGGCATTATAACTATGGCTAGGGAGATAAAAATGAAGGTATGTGGTGTGTTTCTTGTCCTTATGAGTCATTCCTCTTAGAAGTGTATGAAATTGCTCTTTTTTCATAGCATGCATTGGCTTTTACCTGGTTAATAGACCTTGCCTCAGAATCTATTCACCAAGAATACTCCGAAAAATTATCCGTTGCTCAAGGTTAACCTCGATTTTCCACTGAGGGCCGTGGAATTTCACAGTGTTCGTATTGTTGAAGTTATGCAGGATAGCGTGATGGTAAACTTGAACGCCCACCTTTCACTTCTGAGGTCCGGAGTTCGAATCCCAGTCTCCCCATGTTAGCTGAGTTGGTTGGTTCTCTTTCTGACTCCTAGAGTGTAGTTCCGGCCCTTCGGTTTTTCCTCCCTCCTCTCAAATCAGCCCTAACTAATTCCAAGTGGCTAGAGCTGTGCTCCGGGGTCATACATGGATTGTATGGTGGCTGCCAGAGGCACCTGCACATGCTTTCAGTTCGACCCCATTGAGTTGCTCCACTGCTGTACTTTGTGGTGGTGATTAGTTATGACAAGTATAACAATTTTTTTAAATATTTTTTGGCATTATACCTTTCCTACATGGCTGTACCCCTTCTGCCATAACCTATCTGTATTATTGTGTATCAGGATCACACGAGTAATAGTGGTCAGATATATCCCTGCATCGTACAATACGTCATGTTCCCGCCATACAGCAAACCAACCGCCAGTGCAGTAGAGGACTGGGTCGATGAAGGTAAAACTACATCACCTGATAACAAACAAAAGCTGCAAATGGTGACAGAGGTCTGGATCGAGCCTCAGTTTGGTGTCATAGTCAATGATGACAAAGCTCTTGAGTACTTGAATGGTCTGCAGTATTTTGAGGTCCCTCAAGCAGTAAGTGTTTATATAACAAAAAACGCTCAATCTTCTCGTACAATTCGGAATTTATAGGTACGAGTGATGTTTTGAAAATTTTCAAAATTCTCTACTTTCACATCCCCATAATCCTTTGCGTCTTTTGGGCGTATCCAGAGGGTAAAATCCCACTTATTTTGCTGAAGGCTGATCAGACAATGTGGACAATACCTTGTTTGGTATCCAAATATAAAATGAAGAAGTAAAAAAACAGAAAAAGATAGAAGCTTGAAGACGTTTAAGGTAAATTTTTAAACATTTTTTCGTAAGTCAATACATTTTCTGTAAGACCAAAACTCTTGATGATCTGTACACGCAAAAATAACTTGGAATAAACTGATAATCAGTATTGCACAGATAAAAGCAGGTATAGTATAAATTCAATTAAGAAACCTTTCAATTTGGGACAGTTTTTTGATTGGTTACCCCCCAAAGACGCAAGGTATTATGGGGATGTGAAAATAGAGAATAGGACAAGACTTTAGGAGAGTCTAATATTAGACTCATTCTGTAAGTCGGTGTTTTCGCTCTTTTGTCGATTCTTGAGCGACCACAAACCATAAAGAAGCGAAAACTGCGAGTTATGGAATCAGTCTAGTCCAATTTGAAAACTTTCAAAGCATCACGAGTATCTATCGATTCCGAATTGTACGAGAAGATCGTGCGATATTTTGGTTATACGCTACACAAATTTGAGCAATTTAATTGGGACTCTACAAAAGCACACCTAACCATTTAATTGTACTTCTCATGTCTAATCAGAACGGAATATTTTTGTTGAGTGTATTATGAACAGAAGATTTTTTTCAGTTTCTTTGTATTCCATTTAAGTGATATGAAACGTGTGCGCATGTCTCTGTATTGTGATGACAGACACGCTGCGAGCTGTAGAGAGCATGAGAGAAACAAGCTTAGGAACACTAGCTGTAGCTGAGTGCTTCTATTACTTTTCGAGTGATCTACAGCTCCCAGAGTCCCAGGGACATAAATATCCGTTATATATCGCTTTTATAAAATATTTGTGATCGAGAGCGTATTTCTGTCCTATGATATAAACACGGTAGCCAGCCAACCAGAGCGCGCGTTACTCTGTATATTTCAGATAATTTATTATAGATAATATCATCAGCCATTAGTGGTGCCATGCGATTCTCTTGGTGTGCTCGTAACATAGGGTTAAGGGATTTCTGTCGTTTCATTCCTGGATTCGGCTTGTGATTCGAGCTAGTTGGTTCTCTCCCTTGATCAATGGTTTTTATCCTTCCAAAAATCCAAAATGCCCCAACCGCCCTCTCCCTCTCTCCCAAGTGCCCTGACTTAGATCAGCATAGAGGTTCGGTTTCCGGCTACCATGAAACGAAGTATTGATTTATTTTAATACAAATATAAACAAGAAGTTAAGAAAAAATTGTTTCCAAAAGTAGGTTACTTCTACAAAGCAGCCTTCACCTTGAATATCACATGAATGTTCAACTTATCTCTTTTCCCTCAGATATTCGACATCGATTATAAATACGTTTCTGCTTTCCTGACATTCGAGCGAATATGGCGAATGTGTGACGACCAAGTGATCTGTGCACCATCATCTTCCAGCCCTAACACTCCTTCCATGCTTCCTGCTCCATCTCCAGACCGGAACTGGACTGTAGAAGCTGTTCCGTACTCGTTTGATCCCCTACTCCTGCTGCCAAAGAGTCGACAGGTTGAGATGGTCTTCTCGTCAATTCAGGAAAATACAATGCAAGGTAGGATATTTACGATATATGATACAAGGACTGTATCGTATATATTACTTAAAAGTAGCAAAAAAATCTAGAAAAACATTCAGTCGTTCATCCAGGGGATATTGGGATATGTACTCAGTAATGGTAGGGATTATATATCAGTGCGTACTACACGTAGAGATTCTTTTTTTAGGAGCCATCAGAAATTTATCATGTCAACCAACATGGCGACGACATTCGTGAGGACGACGTTGTGGAGGGGAGAGGGGGTGTAGGAAGGGCGCGCTTTTGCAGACAGCAGTTGTTGAACGAATTAAGTCAAATAAAATGCAGTAGAGAATTAATTTTTTTTGCCGTCTTTTTGCTAAACTAATCAACCTCTACGTATTCCAGACACCAACGGTCTCGGAGAGATGCCGAATGAAGTTCTTTTCAAACTTCTAATCGAAGACATGAACCGCTTTCACGACCGTGAGATCAAATTGACAGAGAAAAACTGCCGAGACCTGATGAAACACATCCTTAAAAGAGACAGACATAGCGTTCCAGTACCTTTCCTTGAATTCCTAAAATTAAGCAAAACAGAATCTAGTGAATCAAATGGTGACAGCGTTGAACACTGCAACTTGGACAAAAAACCTCTTATCAAATGGAGATGCTTTGCTCGCCCGGTTTCCGGTCTCGGTTACTTCCGCTTGATGTTGAGTTTTATTCCCGCAAGCTTAAAGTATGTAAAGATGTTCGGAAAGCAGAAACGAAATTCCTTCGGCGGGAAATCTAAAATCGATCCTGGCTTCAAGGATAATGGAAATGTCCTGGAAGGTGTAAGGGAGAGTCTTTCGAGGCGAAGTTTGACACCCATCATGGAAGGCGTGGAGAGTAAGTATCATACGATATAGATGTATGGGAGAGGAATGGAGGGATGTGAGTCAGAGGGCTGGAAATCGTGAATAGTGTATTCAGTAATCACAATTTCCATATGCTCAATTAAAAAATCATTGTAGAAGCTGAGACCGAAAGGTATTCGGGGAAATGACATCATCATCCTCTGATGTATTCATTTGAGATACAATGTTAATATGAAACATGACTTAAAAGCCTCTAAGCTTTCTGTCATTGCAACAATAAGCGAAATCGTAGTTTAAGAATCGTTTCCAGTGTGCATGCGATTTTATCCCTAATTTCTTTCCTTTCCTTCATTTTCCTCGCTTGACGTGTATGCTATAAATGCAGATTTCAATGAGAATATGTTCTTATGCCTCTTTTTAACACAATAATGAAAAAACGCAATGAAAATAAACGTAACGCTCATATCGGATATAATTAGGATTTTTTCGTAAAAGATAGAGCGAAAGTCCGCATAAATTCTAGTTAAACTTGAATAATGTTTCTCTGGCCCACAGAACGAAACCTGACACCCACTCCAGTGGCAGAAATAGAACAGAATCCATTTTTCCCTGATAAGCCACATTCTGTACCATTGACACTACAGACGGAGCTACAGTCCACAGATCTCACGAATGACAACATAGAGGAAGACAAAGCTGGATTTGATCCCAATCCAAGAAAAATGGCGGAATTAACCATTGATGTCCAACCTGAAAAAAATGTCAAGTTCAAAGAAGATGATAACGTACTTACTCCAACTGAAGAAAACGTATCTCCAATGGCACCCAATACACCCGGTTACGACGACGACTGGCTCTGTTATAGTATTCCTATATACTGCTACGATTGCCCTATGTCCACTTTGACCAACGTTGAACAAAAAAAGGAACCAGATGAAAGAACTGAGGAAATTAGAAAGCGAGAAGATATCTTTCAGGATTTCACACAGACTTCGCATGTTTTCGTGGACCCTTTTAGTCTAGAGGAAATCCCTAGAATGGCAGAGGGAAGGACACTTGGTCGATTTGGAACTTCGAAGGATCTTCTCTTGCACTGCAACGCTGTCCATGATATATTTTTCCGCTGTTTTGTGTCTAGTATTTTTACAAGCCTTCAAAGTGGCCATCAAATGAACATTAGGGACGTCCAATCAGCTGTCGATACTTGTGAAGAAAACTTCCTTGAAATTGATATAACAGAGTTTATTCGCCATCTTTGTGGTCACTTTTCAAACACTAGTCAACCCAAAACTTCAGACTCCGTAACATCCTCACTCCTGTTATGCCAGAAGACGCAATTCCCGATTTTCCAAGGGCGAGAATTCCAGGGATTTGGTTCTTTGCTGTTCTTGAAGACAGTCTTGAGTGACGTCTGTGAATCAGCTCCAGGCCTTCACCAGTCCATCAAGGAAAGGTTCATGGGTATCCTAGACAAGTATTTCAAAGCAATTCCAACAAGTGGAGATTTGTATTTCTATTGTCCACAGTCTGTTAACGTCACAAAAAAGGTAAATAACATAAAGGGGGCATCAGTAAATATTTGAACTTTTGTGTAGGGTCTAAACATTTTATTTTGATGAAAGCTGTTGTTGCAGGAGGGTCAAAATGAGGGCCATGAATTTTTTACTTAGTGAAGGGGGAAGACTACAGCTATTAAAAAAATATGCAACGCGAATCCCCCTCCCCTACCCAATGAAAAACCGCGAGCTTTTCCTTACATGAAACAAATGAGAAACAAATGAGAAACAAAAAGCAAAACCCAGTCGCAACTGAGAACTAAGGCTGATGAACTAAGAGCTTTGTTGTTGGATGTACTCCTTTTTTGATGCCAATAAAGGCCACTCCTTTTTTTACCACACTCGTCGTACAAAAGCTCCTGGTTATTGAAAGTCAAAGCAACTTTTTTCAGTTTATGGAGCAGTTTTCTTTCGGCTCGGTTGCAATACTAAGTAAAGATACCGACTTACTTGAGGCCACTTTGAAAGACGTTCCTATTTTAGTTTGTGTAACCCGTCTTTAAGTTTACAGCAAAATAGGGCATGCCTGTATGGCCATAGTTATTTCCTCACTAACAAAGTAACTATCATTTTAATTGCAGTCATGTACAAGTAGCAGTTTTGAACCAGAAGAGGACAAAGATGGCATTGGTTTCCAAGACAACTCTGACAAACTCAATGACGTTGATGACAAAAGTGACGAAGAAGTCTTTGGCGACACTTTTGTACTGATCCAAGATGATGACCAGGAGTACCCACTTTCTGATGACTCTGATTCAGATTTTGGATCCTCTTCTGAGGAGAGTGACTTCGGTGAGCTAGAAGACGACGACAAGAGTCTTAAAACACCACTGTTTTTACAACTGACATGCTCACTACGTGACAGAAGTACTATTGGTGGAGGAGCCATGACGCCTGTCTCTGTCAGCTCCTTGCCTGTCTGTATCGGTACGTCATTATATTTAAATGCGTCATTACCAAATTCTGCTTCAATTTGGAAGAAAGCACTTTTCTTATAAAACTTCCTTTGCGCTAGTCATATCCAGCGACTATATTTGTGTTTAGTATGGAGTATTTATAGAAAGGTTAAAACGGCTCGGTCTTGTATTTCAACGCAAATCCGAGCACCTGCGTTTTAACTGTTTTAAAAACCAACCACGCCCTAATTCTATTGTTTGATGGAGGTTTGAATTTCGATGGAAAACTTGTCCCGGGTTTTGAATTCAGCCCCGCTCTTTCCTGTTAGTATCATTGCTGAATTCAAAACCCGGGACAGGTTTTCCATCGAAATTCAAACCCAACGTGGTAGTTGGTTTTTAATTGTTATGTTGACTGTTAATCAAATGTTCTTTCTCGATCCCCAGGAGAAATCATAAGTCGTATGGAAGACGCAGATACATCGTTTGACCTCTTCAGTCCCTCCCTTAAAATAACTATTGATTTAAATTGTCTAACGCTGTCTCCTGAGGCAGACCATTCTGCTCTAAGATCAACCGCATCGCAGGAGTACCCGTTACGATCAAACTCCTTTTCTAGTGTTGGTTCCCCCCTCTCAATGTCCCCTCAAGAAAAGTTTGAATTCAAGCGCCAGGACTCCAAGACTGTTACGTCATATGACATAGATGGGTAAGTTTGTGCACTACTGCAGTACTTTCCGCACTGTGCGGTTATCAAGATTATACTATCAAAATCATGTTACACTGTCAATGACCATCTCAACTTACTGTGCTCACACTGTCCACAGTAATTGGTGAAAGCTATTGTAGTGTCCCTGGGGAAACGTCAATAAAATAAGATGGAAATAATCGAAAATACCATCAATGAGTGCCAAGCAATTTATTTAAAGGTGGCATTGTATTTTATATCATTAATATTCTTCCATTTTTTAAGGGTACAGTGCATACCATATATTCGTGAAAAAAGTTGTAAGAAAATAGACAAATTTGCACAAATTAAGTTCAGTAGGCCTCAGTAGAGGGACCGTAGTCCTGCGAAACTTTGCGCTAATTTGTACTGACGATTTTGATAGTTAATTTTTAGCTAATTTGTACCATTTTGTTAATTTTTTTACGGATATATAATATGCACCCTAACGATAATATTTCTAGACGTCCACGGTTTTTCGATTCGCAAGAAAAAAAGAGATTATATTAAGAAAACTATTTTTCTAAGTATTTTTCGTTTCTTCCTGATAAGGTTAAATGGTCCCGATCCCCTTCGTAGTCTTCCAAACCAGCAACGAGTTGCTATGAATATCACATGTGAGAACATTCAGTGGTTACTGCAAGATGAGGTCGTGTCTGAGTTACGTCACACTGGACCGTACACTACTGCCACTTTAGACAAGGTAATAATAAACATGTCAATGCCTTTTTACATTTTTTTCTCAATAAACTTTTTCGTTTGTTTGTTTGCTTGTTTGTTTGTTTGTTTGCTTGCTCTCTTGCTTGTTTGTTTGTTTGCTTGCTTGCTTGTTTGCTTGCTGCTTGCTTGTATGTTTGTTTGCTTGTTTATTGTTTGCTTCTTTGTTTGTTTGCTTTTTTATT